ACCTGAGAAATATAACAACACTGAAGTGAAGTACGAGATAACTTTTATAGTTGCCAAACGGCACTTGATATCTGCTGTTGCGATGTGTAAAAATCTGGAGAAAGAGTGATACGTCGGAAGCATTAATCAAAACAAAATAACATGAAAAATGAAGACTCGTTTAGTCTGTACATGAGGGATTATGAAAAAGTGCAACATCCCTTGTGTTCCCTAGCAATGGGTTAAGCGGTACTCAATTATTGACACTGTTGTGATGTATAGCAATCTGGAGAAAAAGTGATCCATCGGCAGCACTAATCACGACAAAATTGCACAAATATTGCAGACACGGTCGGTTTTATTGGTACGTACATGAGGGATAATGAAAAAGGTGCAACATTCCTCACGCCCCCTAGCATAAACCTTTAACCATTTCAAATGATAAACGTAAAATTAACTTTTACAGAGAATCAAAAGGTATGATTAAATACAGGTTACTTGTGCATGAAATGAAATAAAATTCTTATTCCTTTTATCACATCACAGCTTGGTGAAATAAGCAAGTTGATTGACACTTGGATTTGTGATAATTGCACATAGTTAGTAACGTTTTACAAAGCTACATGATAAACAAGTGAAACAAATAAGACATATGCCCATGAAATTCATATATATCTTCAGTAGTTTAAGAGTTATTGCCCTTGTAAAGTTGGTATATTCTCAATGTAAGTGCTTTCTCTGCATAGGTTCTTAAACTTTCGTTAATAATGGCTTGTTGCAAATTGTTTTCTGAGACCGTGGTAAAAGCACGTTCTAAAACAAAATGATATTCATCTTCTAATTCATCGCAAAAGTGCATCTTCCGTTTAGTTACTGGTGTGCTTACAGGTCTAGTCAGTCTACCACTTTCAATAAAAAGTCTATTTGTTGATCAGCGTAAATCAGTCTGATTAAAATCAGCTTCTATTTAACTCATTAGGATCTGATCGGCACCAATAAGATTTCACCTTCTCGTTACCTTTCAAACAGCCAATTATCATTGACTTTTATCATACCAAAATGTACTTCCTGCAGGGGAGAGTACTACAACATTACGTTTTCGTAAGTCTATAAAGATTACTCTCCCCTGGTAAATATTGCCAACAATTGTTCACCGGATAGTATTCATTTCCAGAATGACAGATCCAAATATCACCATGTGACGTCACATTTGGTTATATAGTAAAATATTTACATGATGGAAAAATAAATACTATTATAAAATCAAACTCGTCATAATGATTACCTCCCTTGGTCGTTACTTACGGTTAATTTATATTAGACCAGGCTTTCAGGAATATGAGCGGCCGCCATTTTTTAAAGTTTTGAATTTCACGGGAGGAATATAATCGTGCTTGGGTCAGAGAGATATCATTTGACATGCTTGTGTCTGATATTACAAAATTTATCGGGCAATATAAAGGAAAAAAGCAGAAGGGCGAGACTCTGCCAAGCCCTCCTTTTTTTCGTGCCGAGCATGATAAATTTTATAATATCAGAAACTAGCATGGTATACTATTTACCATGTTTGCAATTTTGCTAAGCGTTTCTTTTATTTCTAATGTCAAGGACCTCTCGAGTTCATGCCTCACGTAGTAATATGCTGAGGGTCATATATATATATATAAGAAATACTGGTCTATGAAAAAACTCCGACACATAGATAACCCAAACACTTGACGAATATAATTGTTATAACTTTGTTTTTAAACAAACAAGCACAGAGTCGCCTAGTAGTATAGGAGCAGGACGGAATGTGATGAGTGTTTGTAAGTCGGTAAACTTTAATGCTAAACTTTTTAAAGGTAAAAACTGCTAAAAAGGTTATTTTCTTTTAATTACAATAAGGTCGTTAGAATTGTTTTGACAACATGACACTGACTTGGGAAAGATTTTTCAAAAAAAACTGTTAATAAGTAAAACAAATTAGATAAAACGTGTTAGATATAAAAATGAATTATTGATACTGATTTTTACATAAAAATATGTGTCGTCTTAATCTACTATTGTGGGGTAAAAAGTACATGTTTTGTATTCGTAATTCAGGACCTAAAAGAATACTAGCTTCCATTTTCATATGAAATGTTTTGTAGTATAATGTAAAGTTTTTGAACTGAACGTTTAGATGGTTCAATATTTAAAATATACAGGAAGATAATTAAGATATTGCAAAAAATATGTGATTTAAAGTCGGAGTTATCTCTTCACCCAGTAGCCCTAAATGATTTAAGTCGAATGTAAGAGAGACTTTAATATTAAAAAGACAAACTATTCGATACAAGGTTTATTATTTCAATATTTTCAAAATAGTGAGAGGTAAAAACAATCAATTCTATTAATTTCATTTCAATATGTATCGATGAGGTTTCTGATAAAGCTGAGAGTGACTGATAAAGCTTAATTTATCAATGTAATGACATGATAAAAGATAATATGATTATACAGCTTGCAATTGGTTAGTAATATCAGCATTTGGTGACTGTATTATAAGAATAGACTCCCTTGCATCATTACTGATACATTTATGGTAGAGCTAATGAAATAAAAGATTATCTTTCGTTGATTTAGTTTCATACCGGTCATTATTGTAAATGTGTTATAAATGTGTTACTGACCGATAGACAGAAATGTAAATAAGATAATTATCTTCATTCAAATTTCTATGCGGGAAATTACAAGGAAAACAAAAATGAGGCGAGCATGGGACTTCACTGACTGGGTGTGTGGTTGACTGTTTAATTTCAAAACATAGATGATAATGACAATAACGAATATGAAGTGTATTTTGCATAATTTCATTAAATTCATACTCCAATAAACATGTTTTATTAAAAATAAAATGTTGCTTTCAATATATTTTACTTATACATTTGTAGATTCCAGAAATCTTTCAAAATAAACTGATTTGAACATTAAATTTTTTTCTATGATATTTCTTTATTTTCTCTTTTTCAACACAGTTAACTTAAAAATGGCAAAAAAGATATATATTTCCACTGCAAAGAGAAGGTGTGTGTGTTCTTTATCATAAATATAAATAATATTGGTGATCATTATACCTATGCACTTAATGTTCAATATTTGTCTTTCAAGTGGGACGGTATGGCAACATAAGGCGTTGTTTACTCGATATGATTTTAACCTTCAATAAATCTTTCACAAATTGCCATATGGTGTATTTAAATATAAGGTCTATAAAAAGACAAAATGGCTTTTTGGATGATTTACTAATTTAACTATAGCGGGCAGACCGGTAGGTAAGAGGTATCGAGGGGATTCTTTATTGTTTATGTATTGTATCTAATTGTATTTCTCATTGTATAAAGTTTATAATTATAAACTGTAAACTGCTTTAAAATTATAAACAGATACTGTTGGCCTAGTGGTTAAAGGGTCCGCCTTTGGGTCGGAAGGTAGAGGGTTCGAGCCCCACGGGGAGCGTTAATTGATAGGTGTATGTTTTTCGTGGGACTCGTTCCGAAATGGCCGCACCGTGAGCCGCGAGGTAGTTAAAATGAATGGTTACCGATTTCTATCCGTCTGCCGCCTGGCATAGTGGTAGGAGTTCGGAGGTACATGGTATGCAAGCAAAAAGTCTATCATAAGTCAGAAATGGCTGGCCGTTTCAGTAGGGGTGATACTATTATAAACAAGACCTTTACCTTTTATAAATGATATGAATTTGCAAGGTGCTGATTGTGATGCCCTCGACCCTTTAGAACAAGTGACGAGAACACTTACACAAAGCAAAGCAATGAAAACAACTACACTTGAATTCTGAATGATCATTAATATTAGAATAGCAAAAATTTGTGAGCTTTAGCAAGTAAACAACACCATATGCTTCCTGTATCTCATATAGAAACAAGCCGACAGATGACTGACTTTAAAGTGTTTATAATTTATTGTAATCAAGGACATCTTATTTATTGATGCATAGTTTTGTACATCTGGCGAATTTCGTTTGTTTTTCTTTTTTTCAAATCAAATTGTATTGGATACAGAATATGAGAAAAAAAATATATCATAAAGTGGATATGTTTAAACGGTATGTTTTGACAATACAAATGTGAACTATGCTATTTTGTTTACTTTTGTTGTGATGTTTGTCAAGTTTATGATGTGGTGCAATTCCCAATTCCCCATTTCGTCTCCAGTGTAGACTAATAAGTTTAGTTTGAATCTACAAATGAACATGCAATTATTTACTTAAAAAGTATTATTATTTTGTAAAAATACCCTACAAGATCTGACTTTATTCCAATAAACACAAGTGGAATAAATAAACATGGTGACCTATTCTCGTATTTAACAAGTGTCCTATTTAGCACTGAGGACAAACCGATAGACGGAAAATGCAAATTAGATATCATCCTTCAAGTTTTTTTGCGGGAAATTACAAGCCATTTTTTAAAGATCCTGTAATACAAATTTTGTATGGTTTTATATCATAAATATGATGCTCAAATTAAGATTTATCAATTTGGAAATTCCAAAAAGCATCATTTATAAAGATATTACCGAACTTAACATTTCATGTAAATAAAGGGAGGTTATAAAATTTTTTTATTTTAAATAAAGTTTCAGTAAAAGTTTTTAATAGAAAGGAATGCATATATTTTAATGATTACATAAAATATGTACAAATATTTGCAGTACATATTTTACATATTCGTCGATGTTTGAAAATTGTTTTATAAACATAATTATACTTGTCCTTAAAGTGGGACGGTATGGCAACATAAGGCGTTGTTTACTTGATATGATTTTAACCTTCAATAAATCATCCACTAATTGCCATGCTTTACCATGGCAAAAAAGTTGCAAACTATGGAGTATTGAAACATAAGGTCGAAAAGCTTGACAAAAACTTTTTGGATGATTTACTAAATCCACTATAGAGAGCAGGCCGGTTGGTTAGAGGTACATGAGGTAATTCTTTATTGTTAATGTATTGTATCGCTGGCAAAGTTCACTTTCCAACAAAATTCCTTTGATTTGACATTTATATAAAACAATCTTTCTAAAAGTAACATATATTGCCTTTAAAATGCTGAAGGCTGCTTTAATTTAAAAACAAATATGTTGGATAAAAATAAGTTGTTTATCTACCATACCAAAACAGACAAAGGCTTAGTGATAAATGTCATCCCAATATAGCTGAATCAGTCTCAGTATCTTATTGTATATTTTTGCTTGTTAAAGTGATGCGCTTTATAAGGACTAGGGTCAACCTGACTTAACTGGATATTTTGAACAAATAAAATTTCGCAATATTCTAAAATATGACAATTTATCATCAATTTATTCAAATTAGCTATTTAATGAAATAATTAAACTCTTGAAACAGATGTTGTTGTTTATCAAACTCGAGCGCATCTCTATATTATGTGTGAAAGATTAGTTAATATCTATATCTTTAACCGAGACGCAGTTATTGTCTTAACTTCTATATTTGGATTTTGACAATGTTTTCGTCAGCAGTGTTTGTCGCAGTAAGTTATAATATTTTATTTGCTTTCTAGAGTAATCGTGGTAAATCTTTATTTTTGAAATAAATAATATCTAATACAAAATAATTTTAATACATGTAATACAGGAGAAAGTAAGTTTAGAGAAACCAGAAAGTTTTAAACAGATACATTTATTTTGGGAATCACTGAACAATAATAGTGCATTTGGTGTCTCTGTTAATTTATAAATTCTATATCAGATAATCTCCATTTAAATAATGTTCGATATTTCATATAAATAATATTTTAATCATTTGTAATACATAAAAAAAAGAACTTCAAATAATGATCTGCATTTAGGGTAAAGGATAGTTCAATTGTAAAGTATTCTTAACATTCATTTATATTAAGCCCTTCTTGTGGACTCGATTTATTTAAATTGGATTGGTCTATAAGAGGCACAATTTTCATAAACATCTCAAATATTAACCAATAAAGCTAAGGAACAATCTGTTAAAGTGAGCCTGCAATTTCGTGAAATAATATCAAAATGCACGTGCTTTCTACATAGTAATTAAATACAAATATAGCAACATATTTGTTTACCTGATTTTTACGAATCAAAATAAAACTAATTAACACAACATGACATTAACTGCTAATAATAACAGCTCCTTCCATAGGCCAAAATAAAAAACATTCCATAAGAGACGACGCCGCTCTCCGGCGTCGCCAATAAAAACAATAAAACTGTATCATTTGGATATTTGTATGAAATAGTTCTAAAAAACAAAATTTTAATAGTTTTCTTAACTTACTTTTTTATGATGATTTATAATATTTTGTTCTAAAACACTTTATATCCTGCTACGAGATATATATTTGTATGTACTTTTGGATCATGTATCAAAACACTTACCAACATTATCCATATATATATAATTCTTTCAAGGTTTTATCCTGTATGATTCTATGATTCTAGCAAAATAATTATGACAATTCTTATGTTATAGAACAATTCATTTTAAATTATACTTAGCAGTACGCTTCATATTTTCCCTACTTTACTTAGGAGATATATACTTCAACAAACATATAAAATAAACTTACCGTCATAAATGACATTTACTTAACAAATTTTGTTTTTATTTGGTTTGAAGGTGCAATAACACAATTTAGGTCACATGGCGCCGAAACAGGAGAAGTGATTTTGGCTTATTTCGGGTGTTACAAAGTTAAGCAACACCAGGGGCCAAAACAACATCACCTGCCGGAGCTCAGAGATGCATAGACAATATAAAAGATTTTACTTTGCTGAAATGAGTGATTTTTGATAAAGTTTACCAAATAAACATTTCGTTTTTATAGCACAAGGAATTTCGAATGGACAATGTTTGATAAAAATATTTAATTACTTTCAGCTCTTCACTGTTATAATCAGTGTTGAAACATCTTACGCGATTCTATGCTCATCCGAGCGGCCACCAGTAAGTTTATTTCACCATATAAGTAACAATGAAAGCACATTATTACATGAATGACATTTCCTTTATCTTTGATTATTTGTTATTAGGTATCTACTTTTAAGTATAAAATAAATGTTTGATTTAAATATAAAATAAATTCTTTTTTTTTAGATAAAATAGATTATGATTTAATTATAAAATGAACACTTGATTTGAATATAATACAAAAATACGTTATTTTACTATAGCATATATACTTTAATTAAATCTAAAATATTTACTTTATCTAAATATAAAGTAAATACTTGATTTTAGTATAAATTACCACAATATTAATGTTTCGCGTAAAAAATCAATATATCATTGTGGAATTTATTCAGTGTCCGGATGGATTTTTCTGCATGAATATATCGTGCGAAAATGTTGACATAGGGAGATGCACAGGTGAGACATTCTGAAATTTGTTTCTTTGATTACTACTTTTTTTTCTAAAACGTCTGATGCAATATCATAGAAAATCGTTAATAGAAATGATTGAAATATCTCATTCCGATATATAAGTTAAATGGGCTTTTTTTTAAACATAATGACAGTAAGGAACTATATTAGTTTAATAGTATTTCACTTATTTTATGCATGTTAAATATGAATAATTCAAAACAAATGTGCATAATTATAACTAACGTAACGAAGTGTTGGGATAGAAGTAATTACAACATTACATATAATTTCATTTCATAACATATATTTTCTGGAAAAGAAGAACCAGTAGAAAAGCATGATGTTACATGATTAAATTAATTATAACACATATTAAGGTGACTTCATTATTCCTTAATGCTAATGACTTAAATTTTAAATGAAGACATTGACGAGTGTGAAAGCAATCCATGCCAAAATGGTGGCACGTGTAATAACTTGGTGGCAAATTACACGTGCACATGTCCTGATCTGTGGGAGGGATATAACTGCGAGGGTAAGTGTAATATATCATTTCACACTCATCATATTTAAAATGGATTAGTCTACAGTTGGCTAATTCTACATAGGTATTTCAAACATTAATAAAACAATAGCAATATTTCATTTGAATATTCTTATAAAATATTTCTTTTCTTTTTGTTTAAATAGTGTTTTAGGGTTTTTAGTATGAACATTAATATGCTGAGTATAATATTTTGTCCTGGAACAAATTGATCTGATATGTATATATATGTTTTATCCATATATTATTTGTTCGTGATTAACTGTCACATATGGTCACCAATATTATCAACAAAATTATTTATGGTATTACAAAAATACATTATAAACCAATTCGCTTTGACAGAAAAAAAAATATGTACATTATTTGCTAACTTGTTTAATTTTGATTATATTAAATTCCAAATGCAATACTTTAGCAGATATTTTGAGCTTATTCCAGTAACTACTTAATGTACAATTCTGATAATTTCATTTTTTTATTTAATAGTTTTTGCAGTAAACCCGACTGATTGCTTTGACCTGCTCAATGCAGGAGTAAATACGAGCGGGATTTACCCAATATATCTCTGGTCAACTAATACAATGTTAGAAGTGTACTGTGACATGGAGACCGATGGTGGGGGATGGACAGTGAGTGTTGTTTGTTTTTTGTTGATTTTTTTCGTAAAACACGTTTTGATGATTAATAAAAAATACATGAGTGAAATTGTGCTTAGATTGTGATGGATTAATGACATTTATCGCTATCATCGCAAAACTGTTAAACTAATATGATTTATTGTGAGTAAATTTCATGCTATTACTTTTTTAAAATCATTCTTTATACAATTCAGCACTTCCTTTCACAACTTTGTTTAGGTTTTCCAAAACCGTTTTGATGGCAGTCTTGATTTCAATAGATCTTTCGCTGACTACGAAAATGGTTTTGGAGTCATTGGTAATGAGTTTTGGCTCGGTAAGTCATTGTGCAAAACAGTATGTTAAAGAACTACATTAAATGTAACATACATGTATGGTGTACGTGCATATTTAATCATTTCTGTACTTTTGGTATCGTTAAGATGTGTCTCTTTCACGTTATCATCTCTTATTCAATTAAGACTGAAATTATTATTATACAGTCAAATCATTCTGAGTTTATAAGACGCAAGCATTTTACAGGAAATAAGTCAGTGTTGCTACTAAATGAATAATTTGGGAATCAGTTTCTTCTAATTACTAAAACTCCAAATATTTCACAATGTATGACAAGTGGAATGCGCACAATTAACATCATATCCTATTGAATTGCATTTCAGGTTTAAAGTTTGTACAAGAGATAGCGGCTCAAAGTCAGACAAAATTAAGCATTCATCTGACTGACGTAAACGATGTTCTCTACTATAGGGAGTATATGGATTTCTCCTTGACAACATCGCTGTATGTCCTAAACATCGGAACAGCAAGCGGAACTCCTCTTATTAGTATGACTATTTTGTGCTTTGAAAACTTATGCCAAAGCTGTCTTGACACAATGTTATGTTATTGTTATATAAAAAACTAATTTTAAATTACAGCGTTATTTGAAATCATCAGTTTAACATTTACACACAATCACACAAATCAATAAATTGTAATTGTTAATATCATTGGGTATAATCATTCCTGTACATAACAGCCGTTGTAAAGCGAACATGAGGGATGTTGCGTTTCGCTTTTCTGGTATTCCTTATAATAAGACCCTTTTAACCGAGTCTGCAAATAAGTCATGTCATGTTATTGTTGTTGTATTTTTATTGTTTCCGAGGGATCAGCAATTTTCCAGAATTTAACAACAACTTGTTTTGACCGATGATAAACTTATTGTTTGATTCAAATAATGAATTGTTTATTGCAGATACTTTTCAAACATTAGGTTACAGCAATGGTATGGCATTTACTACCTATGACTCCGACAATGACCTACACCTCTCAAATTGTGCTAATTCTGGATCAGGGTGGTGGCATAGATCTTGCTTCAGGGTTAATCTCAATGGAATATATGGAACTCCAGGACAGTTCAATTCTGGCTATGGATTTGTACTTGGGATTGTACATTCAGGCTTTAATTGGTGGCTCGGGTTTGAAACATCAGTGATGATGATTCGACGAGTTTAATTGCACTGAAAAAGAGCAAATTTACGAAATGTATGCGAATGACCATGCAGTGATATGCTATGACGTCATTGTTAATTCTTTTAAACAATAAAATATATAGAATGTGCGCTTGCAGTGCTGAGTAAATTGAATAAAGTTATTAAATAAAACATTTTGCTTGCTTACTACTTCTACAATAAACACACAATTTGTTTAATATTATCTGTTAATATCATTTGTTATACTCTAGGTCGAACTATAATTATGAATGAAGTACAGTTTCATATATTTAAAACATCTTGATATTTTTAACATCAGTAGAATGATTGCAAAATTAATGTCAAAGAGTGGCGTCCGTGGCCAAGTGGTTAAGTTCATTGACTTAAAACCACTTTTCCTAACCGCTGTAGAACGGTGTCTCGTAGGTGACTTTGGTTTCTTTCATATAACGAAACTCTTTAGCTAGCTAACGGAATGTCATATGCTTTTTACTCAGGATACCTTCCTTGCATTAAATAAAGCAGGGTCACCATATGTGTTTCTGAAAAATTTAAACCTGAAAGTCACCATTTGATAATTACAGAGTTAGTGTCACCCCCGGCTACCCCCCCCCCAAAAAAAAAGAGAGAAAAGAGAATAAGCTGTTGATATACAAAATCAGTAATGATACATTAAGATGATTTAGATTAGATGTATTCAGTCACTCGTTATTTACACACTTCAGGAAAAACTCAAACAGATAGTGTAATTCATGTAGACGTATATTCTTAAGCATCTCAGGTGAATTATGTCTTTGTTTACGTACACCTTCTTATGTTCTTATTGGTCTCTGGCTACATCAATAAGAAATAAAGTCAATGACTTCACATTTAAAGGTGTTTTAGAGGAAATAAAGAATCCTGAGCTAGGTTTGAATAATTGGATATTTTTAAATAACACCATATATAGAGAATAATAGGTTGTTGTCGTGGATGAAGAAAGTTTATCGGGCGAAGCGGATAAATTTATTTGGTGGACAAAGGCGAAGCGGACCCGGGCTTTGGCTTGCCCGGCTAGCGAGTTTGCCCAATTTAATTAAAAAAATGTTTGTTTTATGAAATATTATTTTTACGGAAAAGATAGGCAGCTGCTTAAGCATGAAGTCTGTAAAAAATGTAAATCAATTTCATGAATTATAGACAACATACTTATACTATATTCAGTGTAACTTTGTTTTCGATTTCCAATTTGCAAACAATGAAAGTCGTGTAATAAAAACATACTAATCATGTAGAAGGCAGAATGCAACTTTAAACATATTAACATGTTATTTGTCAAGTGTGCAAAATCAGAATGCAAAACATGCATTGTTTTACTTGTAGGAACATTCAGATAATGGCAGTCATATTATTTTCTAAAACGTAGCTAACAATGATATCAGTATCAATTAAATATTGCCAATGATATCGTAATAAAAAACACAACCCAACGCCAAATCGAATCATAATCCTAAAAAGCAATGGCCACAACCGAAAAACTTGCCAAGTATGTCATAATTAGAAAATACAACTGCAAACAATAACTTTCATGTAATAATAAACTGTTAATGATATCAAAATTTTAAAACTGAAACAACTGTGACAGTCAATAATATCATAATTAAAAAATACAACTGCGTACGATACCATTCATGTATAAAAATCTGCCTTTAAAACAGAAACAACTGCAAATGATATCATAATTATAAAACAGAAACAACAGTCAATTAAAAAACAGATACAATTTCCAATGATAACATGATAAAAATCATCTGCAAACGATATCATACATGTATTAAAAAACTGCAAATGATATCATAATGCAACAATAGAAAACACAGCCATTTATATGATAATAAAAACTGTCAATATCATTATATTCATTCCAAAAAAGTGACCACTGCAAATGATTTCATAGTTAATAAACTGCTAATACTATTATGATAAAAACAACTACCAAAAATATCATAATCCAAATAATATCAACTGCTAATGACTTAAATACCCATCAAAATACAAAAACAAAACAACAAAAAGAAATGCAAACGATATTATTATAAAAAAAACAACACTGAATGATATCAGAATGAAAAACTACTGCCAATAATATCAGAATAAAACCTAATGTTAATGACATCATAATTAAAAGGAAATACCAATGATATCATTATAAAAATAGTATCATAATAATGACACAGGTGTAGCTAATATAATTTTGCAATCTTGAAATAGATTCACAATTTTCCATAACACTCAACAGAAACAAAAAGCCCCGACTGCTATTAGATATAAACACATTTTGAATTTTATTCTGAATATATATTTATTATGATACTAACATAAAATTACATTGTACAAGAATATTGTATCATAGTGTCTTTACCTTTTAAATCTTATTGTTCATATAGCAAGTAGCACTATGGAGTGTATATAGTGTGTATAGTTTCTTTATTCCTGCCTGCGTGATCGTAAGAGGCAACTAAATGGGTTCGAACAACTTAAAATTGTGGAACTCTTATCTGCAACAGGTGAGGAGGTGTTGACTCCTGGTGTAACATTATGTTTGTAGCACTCGAGGATAGTCAACAATCATGAGAAAGATTATTTAGGTGTACCAATAAGTATCAAATGACACTTGATCTAAGTAAGCATTTTATTCTGAAAAAATATAAATGACAAAATCCAGCTAGATTACAGGACTTCAAAGGTTCTACTCAGGTGCCAATATGTGTCTGAAATAATGCACAGAGGGGCATTTGAGATATTCCTGTACCAGTAAAGCTGAACGAAAAGTCAAACAAAATTATTAAAAAAATACAACTTTTTAAACTATATGATCACCAAATATATCTTTGTATAGCACTTGGGAGGGTAAAAAAAACTGTAAAATAAATAATCGACCTTTTTCATTGGGTCCACGTAGAAAGGGACTTTGTTCATGGATGGTCATGTTGGCGTTATTACTTTCTTTTTGATGTTATACACAACACGCGGTAGATTCGACAAGACAAGAGAAGTAATCTCCCTTGAATGTTTGGACTGAAACTAAAAAAAAAAGCTGTAAAAGAATGGGTATTTTCCTATAAAAAAGCAATTTCCCGGAAAAAAAGTAGTGTTTTTCTACATTTTGTCTGTAAATGACTGGACTTTACAACGTTACATTCACTAATATACTCATTTAACTGCGTTGCAACGTTTGTGCATCTTATTTCGTGTAATTCCTCCATTTAATAAATGAACACAAAATGGATAAGCTTTTGTTTTGAACTATGTAAATGATAAAATAAAAATCAAACCCAAAAGCATGTTAAGAAAAATTGGACAAAATTGTAGTAAATAAACTTAAGAATATCAGCAAAGCCAATAAATTAAAGACTGTCTACTTTTGTTTTGAATTGAAAAACAGCTCCCCATAATATGTTAAGAAAAATGAATATTGACCACATAATTAAAAAAATTTCCGTAATATCATAATAAAAAAATCCCCCTCCCCACATAATACAATTTGAAAAAAAGGTGAAGAAAAATATACAAAGATATGGTATCTACCGGCAACGAAAGTCAATAAGTTAAAGACTGCTTGTTTTTGAGTCTAAAAACATCTGCTTATAACATGTTAATGAAAATAGCATTTATTAAATGATAATAATAAATGAATAATAAAAATAAAATAATAATATCACCCCTAAACTCAATTTAGAAAGTGAAAACTAGTAGTGAAAAATTGACAGAACTATGGTATCTGCCCTTAGAAAAGCAGCAAAAGCCAATAAGTTAAAGAATAAGGTTTTTTGGGTGCTCATGACACCTTTATAAAAAACCCAATGATATCATTTTAAAACAACACCAACAAATGCCAATGATATCATTGAATTCAAACAACAATGATCCAGCTAAAAAAGTGATGACATAAAACAAAATTTCACATTGTCCACAACACTTAGCAAAAACATTAAACAACAGAATACTGTAGCCATATAATGCCGTACAATAAACTGTTGTTGTTTTTTGTTTTTGTTGTTGTTTTGTGTGTGTGTGTGTTTTTAGGTTTTTTAAACATATTGTCCATATGATGTGTATCATCTCATAGTCGGATTCGTGAAGTGTTAGATAAACAAAATTCATTTACAAACATTGTAACGAATCATATTAATAAAAATATTAATTATAATCTTCATTAAAGTCTCATTCATACATAACAAAATATAGTAAACATAATTTTACAAGATATATGTTGTTTGTGTACAGCAATTCTATTCTGAATTACAAGAGACATTGAAGTGGAAGGGAGACAATACTGCAAGGATTCTCAATATACCTTGCAAAGTTACCGCTCATCCCATTCCATATTTATAATACATATTACAGCTGAAACAGGAAACCATTTATAATCTTTTTCTGAGAGATTTCCCTGCAATATTGCTTTATAATTAACACCATAGCAATCTTTTTCTACATTACGTTGTTATTATAAAAATGTTGGGCTTTTTAGCAACAGATTCCCATCCTATAAAATCATTTACTTCATAAAAGTATTTCACATCATTTCATAAAAAAGAGAAAAAAGCTTGTATATTCTGTGTACTACACGAGAGTGTGATACCTATTGGGCTTAATATCAAAACATAAGAAGACTCATTTAACATGACAAAACTTCAAGTCTTTAAATACTACAGCAGTACAAAGTATTTACAGTGTTTACCTGCGCACCATTGAAAGAAGATAAAATAATTTTTGTAAGGTAATAATTATTATGATTAAAGAAATGAGGTTACTGATAACAGGAATTCTGGAATTTCATTCATTACATATATTATCAGTTGAAAATTCGAAAATCGTTCACCTGTCACCATGGGAGGTTTGGGCAATAAAAATTACAAAATAGAACATGTTTTATCCTGTAAATCTAGAATTCAAGAAATAGTAGCATTCTCAAACCTAAGTTTACATTGGTTTTGTACTTCTAAATAGACTTTAAACATTTATCAACAACGTCTTTCAAAACAACTGCATATCATAAACGGTTGACAAACAACAAAAGAAAAAGAATTAATTTATTATCACTTCTCACGTAATACTAGTCCAAGGTTGTTTTTTTTTTTTTTTTTTTTTTTTTTTTTTTTCATTCTCGAGTGTTCGGGACTTATCCAGCATT